GCCAGGATTCCCTGTGCTTTGGTTACCAGGCCTTGGAGCCTAATTTATGGCCAGGCTTTCATGCATAATTTCATGTACCTCTTAAAATAGAATCTTTTAATTGTATTTCCCTTGGTGTTGATTTTTATTTATAATTTATCTTACCTGTTTCTTATTGTATATTATCTACTATCAACTACAAATGAATTGTGTATCAGGTACTATGCCAAATACTTTGCATGGATTGGATTTTTTAGTCAATCAACCTCCTCTAAAGCTGAAGAAGCTAAAGCTTAGCGATTAAGCACCTTGATCAAAGACACACCTTACAGGCAGGGAAGCTGGAATTCAAACACAAACATAACTTTTATGGGTTCCAGGTTATTACACAGTGTGGTAAACTGCCTCAACCAACTTGCAGAATGTGGTAAGACTGTAAGAAAACAAAACACACCAGTGTTTTTACAGACGTGCCATGGATGATAAGACATCATCCTATGAAGAGCTAGGATATTAAAGGTTCAGCTTTTAAATTTAGTTTTTAAATTTCATTCAGATACTTACAGTTTTTCATATAGAACATTTATTATTCCAGAGATTTAAAAATTGGAAAATACCAACAAGAATATAGATGCAAGGAACCATAAAAACAAACAATAAATGTTTATAGCTTATTTTCCTATATGCACAAATATTTGGAAATTCAAATGGTATAAGGCATGGTCTTTGTATTCAAGGGATTAGACTACAGGAACAAAACTACCATTTATAAATAATTTGAAATTACATGCTAAACTATGTACACAGCCCATATGTTTGAGAACAACTCAGAAAAAGAGAGCTAAGTGCAACTACCAGAAAAGGATTGTTGGACCACAAACCTATGTAAAATGAATACTAAATGGATAAAATTAACTTCTACTCAGAAGAAAATGTTTTATAAGAACTTGTAATAACTGTAAAACAGGCAGTGACAGAAAATAATCACTCAATTACAATTCATGACTATTTCAATAAAAATTAATTTTAACAGTGACATCAATGACTTTTGCATGCCAGTTTATCTAGTAAAATTCTAAACTTATAGCATTTGTCTATTGTTATTCATGTAGCAAACTACTTGGGTTTCAAGGGTTAAGTCAGGCAGAAAATTTCCAACATGGATGATAAAAGATTAGAATCATGTGTAGCATTTCCACTGTCACATAAGGGCTAGATGGTAATCCTCTTATAATTTCTCTGTCCTCTTCAAGAACATAAGAAAAAGGAAAATAGGACTCTTACTTAGCTGAATAGGCATGCTGCATAAGACAAACAGAATAAAGCTTCATAAATGTCAGCTCAGGCCCTCCTACTGGTGACATTAAAAAGCTATTTTTCATCAACATCTTAACCCAACTCCCACCAGTAGAGCATCCTACAGACAGCAAGCTGACCCAGACCTTATTTTCACCCCTCAGTGCTGGAGTTATTAGTTCAAGTAACTCAAAAGTACCTCTTTAGTTATAGTACCCCCTGGTCTGGATTTACTCTCTTAAATACATTTTGATAGCAAGAATAATTGTGAACACATTCACCTCTGAGTTTTGTAAGGATTTACTATAACCAATACCCATACGGGAAAGGATCATAACAAATTTAAGCTTGATTTTTATCAAATGCTTATATTCCTATCACAATCATGAATGTTTAAATGCTTCTTATGCAAATTTAAAGGTGAAAATTTCCATGAGTTTTTAAAATGAGATCTTGAGATATAAGTGTAAACTAATTCTACTACCACCACCATCATCCAGCAATGGTTTAGACCCACCCTTTTTTTTTTTTACAAAATAAATTGCAGGCACTTTGTGGGTAGTTTCCTTATATGCCCCTTGTTGTCTACTGAACATGTTTGAATTGCTAAAAGAATAAGGTTGCAAGAGAATGTTGGCAAATGTGGGAGAGATCATGAGAAAGAAAAGAGTTCTCAATTCCAAACAGCATCCAATGGTCTCATTTTGATCTTCCTAGGGGCCTAGAGAGGAGGAAATTTGCCTCTTTCTCATCCCAACTGCTAATTACTATCAGCGCGGCCTGTGGAGACAGATGCTGAGAGAATTACCAAAAACTCCAAGAAATGAAGGAAAACAAAGAATTCTCCACCATCAGTTCCATGCAACCCAAAAGAGGAAGAGATAAGTAGCTGGTGATATGGAAGACAGCACAGCTTCTGTCTCTTCCCCTCCATTTACCCATTGGATAGTATTAATTTTCATGGTGTTCTGGGTATGGGGCAATGGGTGAAAGGATGAAGAGAGACTCTGCTTATATTTTTAAAATAAGACTCCTGTGTGGCACTGGTTAAGAATCGAAGAATGAAAATGCATACTGTCCAGCGTTAAATCATCAATGATAAGAAGTAACACCCGACTCCCAGCCTTCCCTTTTCCAAGGCCTTCATAATAATTAGGTAACGTTTACAGTCAATGAACTAAGAGGTATCTATCACCAAAGTGGGCTTGTAATTAAATCATTCAATGTTTTCCTATAGTCATTTTCTGTCTTTAGTGCTTTCTAAGTAGAGTCTTCTTTGAGTATAGGGACTTTAAAGTCATTTGGACAAACCCTGTAAAGGCAGCAGAATCAAGACTGCCAAAGCAAACCATTTCAGTCAGAAATGTATTCCTGCGATACAGGATTTATTCCACACAGATGATCCACTACTTTCCGAGGGGTGGGCATGGGTCAAACAAAGGCAAGGGATTTTGTTTTTGTTGTGCAGCCAAAATATTCACAGTACTCTCTTCTGCCAGGGAATAAACCGATCTCTGCCAACTTTAGAAACAATGAGCTCTCTGGAAACTGGTCACAGAGCCCTCTGTTGGGCTTGGAAACTCTGCATTTATAGATCTCTTTTACTTGCTTTTTATCAGTAACTAGGTTTCTATTGGCACAGGAAAGAACAAAATGAAACGCACACTATAAACTATAGTCAGCCACAGGAAGAAGAATTCTTGTTAGACTCGGAGTATGTCCATCTCCCCAAATCCTGAGATGACATGCCCTGAGGTGCATACAGTATTATAAAAACATGTCCTGGATCAGCAGCTTGGAATGATGAATCCACCATTACGTTCCTGAAGGTGCTGTTCTACTCCCCCTTTTCATGCTTTGGTTCATGGCTCTTCCTTGTGCCAGAATACCAGCTCTCTTCAGGCCACCTGGTGGATTCCTATTAGCCCTTCAAACCCCAACTCTTGTATTATTTCCTGGGAGAATTTTTCCATAAAAGCTCTATCCTCCCACTCCCTGTTTCAAAAAGTTAATTGTTCCCTCTACCTAGCTCCTTGTCTGTTACCTAGCACATTTTTCTATGATTCCAACAACACACTGTATAATAATTCCATGTTTACACATCTGGCTTTCAGAACAGATGGTGAGACCCTGGGCCCTGAGTTAATTTTTTTAAAATTTATTTTATTACATTCAGCATGCTGCCTAGCTCTTAATAGCCACTTAATACACATCTTTGATAAATTAATAGGAAAAGAGTTTTATATTCACAACAGCATTTGATTTTCCTTCTTATAAATTCTGTTGTTCCTTTATTTCATAAATGTTCTTTTCTTATGCAAACTATCCTTTTACATCTAACACATATTACATAAAATGGAGCAAAGAGCACATACATATATTATTGCAATATACTCTTTTCAGTAGGCATACAAATCTTTCTATAGAGTCCTCACACTGTGACATAGCAATAAATAAAGCAATTAAGTCAGACAAGGAGAGAACAGGAACATGAATGGAAAATCCTAAGAATTGGGTTGTATATAGCTTGCCAGTACACAGTTCTCTCCTGTAGTTCTGGTTTACTGTTTTGTTATTTTTAAGTGACACAATGCTGAGATATGTGCTTCACCACAAGACCCTTTCAGAATTCTAATTATTATAAACAATAATTTCTTATATAAGTCTAATGTTCTATGTTTGTAAACAAATCTTTCACCATTGTCAGACGTGAGAAAAGCACCTTTAAAGCATGTAATTTTTGAATTTTACAATTAAAATGTGAATATAAATTGTATGTCCTTTAAATTGTGTTTGTTTTTTGTTGCCATGATGGAATCTGATGAATAAGCTTGCATTTTGTACACTCTGTGTAGATGCATAATTGTACATCTTTCATTTTAAAGGATCTAAATCATGACAAGAAACTATGTTGACTGAGACTGTTTAGTACAATTAATGATTTAGGAGTCTAGGTTGTCACAGTAGACTCAACTCCAGTAATCTTGTTCAGATGCCTCTATTTTAATCAGAATTCTAATCATTAAACAGTCTATCCAAGATGCTCACAGGGTTTTCAGGATCTAGTCAGTATTACATAAGCTAACATGACAGTGAGCTCTGAACATAAATCCATGTTTTCAGTGCTCTTAAGTCACATGGCAAGAACCTCAGAGAAATTTTTTCAGTTACACCTTAATGGGAAACAGTACACTGAAGCAAGAAGAGGAACTCAGGATATTTGAGCAAAGATTTAGAAGGTTCATGGAAAAACAATAATGTGACTATAATGCTTTAAGTTATACACCATCACAAGTAATAAAAATAACTGAAAAGATAAAATAATTTTGACAAAAATGTTTGTTTAGTAAGTATAGTTAACCTAAAAAAACAAAAGTATCTAACCCTTTGCAAGATAAATCCTTTCATATTGAAAACCACCTATGAATGATTATGCCCAACCACTGCACAGAGGAGTTTATTCCAGAGTTCCTCTTTCTTTGTTTAATCACAAGGGTGTGAATCAAATCCAGCTCTGCTTGGCTCAATGCAAGATAGCATTCAGGGTAACTGAAGAACCAGCACCTCCTGACGTCACTCCTTCCTTAACAAATCACTTCAAAATCATACAGCAGTAGGTTCCACCCTTCCTTTGAACAATCAGTTGCTGAAGGCCACTGAGTTCTTTCTTACGTAGTTACAGCTCGCTAGCTAGAGAAAAATCCTAATTCCAGTTGTTAACTCACCTTGAAGAACTTCCATGGGGAGGACAGTCCAGGCATTTTCCAGGTAGGAAATATAAATATAGCGAGCTGTATTACAGGCCAGGCCAATGTACAGAACCCTAAAAAATTAAAAAAAAAAAAAGCAATTTAAGACCCCAGTAGAAAACACAAAACATGCAAATATTACCTACTTTTCCCTCTTCCCCAAATGATCTACCATGAAACAGATGTGTTCCAATCATAGGCGCAGGAAAGTTAAAGGACAATTAAATTTAACCATGAATTTAGTAATAAGAAGACTGCTTCTAACATATCTGCCCTCAGCCTTTCCCAAATGCTTAATATAAAAGTGAACATCACCCTTCCTGAAACTTAATTAGTAGCAGAGACGATGCTTTTTTAAGATAGTCTGGGCACACTACCATCTATAATGACATTACTGGCTTCTTTCCAGGTGGCTGTAGGGTAAATATGCCTGGGATTGTAGCCACTTCACAATGATGGGAGGATGACAGGATAAAAATGAGAACATGTAAACATGAATATGGCCTCACTCATAATATCCAGGTCACCAAACAGGTTCACAAGGAGACTCTCAAGGTCATTGATAATAATCATCTCATGATGAATAATAAATTATTTGGAAATCAAATATTTTCCTATGATTTAAATTGACACATATTTATTATTTTCAAAATTATCCATGACATCATCTTCTTACAAAACTGATAAATACATGTTAATTTCTTGACTCATCCCACACCTAACATTACTATCACAAAACATATAAGTAAAAACAAAATAAGAAAGGGCTGAAATTGGATGTCCAGGCATAAAGTTACAATCTCTCTCACTCTGAACTGGACAGACTGGTTTGGAGGTAAATGGTAGCTGCGTCTCTGTACAAAACACAGCCTGATGATAGGGGTTTCTTTTTCTCAGTTGTTTTCCATTTGTGCTAATTTTCCTAACCTTAATGCTTTTGTTTTCTGAATCCAAGTGGATGAAAACCAGAAGGCCAAAGAAATAAGCCAACATGGCAATCAGTAGTATTTTCTCGATCTTACTCAGCTATATATTTATATTAAAATAATTTCTATAAACACTGGTCTCTTTTTTCCAACTCTGAATCAAGGAAAAAAATGTTCTCATGTACAAACTGGCATTGGTCATAAATATGAAACAAAAAGATGGGGAAAGGATAAAAAAAGAGAGAGAAGGGAAAGATAGGAAATGGGTATTTGAAGGGACTTTATTTAAAAGGCCTGTGTCATATAGTTTTATGGACATTGGATTCTTCAAACTTGTGTCATTTGATGAAAAAGTATGTTTTATTAATCTTGTTTGATAAAATTTTTGTTGAATAAGCTCGTGACTGATTCATCAATCTTCTTCCACTAGGGAAAAGAAAAAAAAAAAACCTCACAGGGAGTTAAAATGTAAAATACACTACAGAAAAACAAAACCACTTGCACAAACCTCCTTCTGCCTCCTACTAAGTTATAACCAGCTGATAAGTACGGGAGGACCTGCACTCAGCCTAAGCCAGGGAACTGCAAGCATTTTCTATGAAGAGCCATGAAGTCAAAGTTGAGGCTTTGTGAACCAAAGTCTGTTACAACTACTTAGTTCTGCTCTAGAGGCGTGAAAGCAGCCACAGATAATATATAAATGAATGAGCATGGCTACACTACAATAAAATTCAAATTGTGAATAGTAAAATTTAAATTTCATATAATTTTCATGTGTCACAAAATATTATTATTATTCTGATTTTTCACCCATTTCAAAATGCACAAACCACTCTTAGTTCATGGACCATATAAAAATACACAGTGGGTCAATTTGGCTCTGAGACCAATAACCTTAAGCCCTGGCCTCATTCATTAATTCTCAACCTTGGCTATCTATCAGATTTACTCTGGTAACTCCTAGAAACAGCAGATATCAAACTCACACCCATCTCAATTAAGATCTCTATGACTGAAACCTGGGTGTGGTGCCTTTGAAAGCTCCCCAGGTTATTCTGATAACTGATTGGGGGTGGAGAACCACTGCATAGCTGGTGCAACTCACTTTCCCATAATCCCTCATAAAACAAATTTTCCTAGTATGCATATTGTCTATCTTCATCTTTTCTTTTGAGCCCATCACTGAACCAACGTTGCCATGACAACAGTCATTCACTCCATTTCCAAAGACCCAGTTTAAGAGGCAGATTATGCTATGTCTTCAAACTTTTACCCATGTGGAATTCAGTCCCTGGAGTTACTGGCCCATAGTTCTGGGATCCATAGGTCTTGACTGTCACCAACAAGCTGAGTTTGTTGCCACCAACAAACTCAAAAAGAACTATAAACTCAATATAGCCTTTACTTCTTTTCCACATTTCTAATGTCACAACTGATAACTGTTTAGGAACAAACAGGTACCCTAAAAAAAGACAAACAAAATAAGTGTCCAGGGCAAGCTGGTCCATCTCTCTGAGACTCAGGTTCCTCATGTACCAGGTAAGGATAATAAAGTTTATTCTACAAGTTTGTAGGGATAATGACAACACAACAACTCACCCAAAATAAGCACTCAATAAATGGTAGCACTATCATTATTTTAAAGAAAAGTATCCAAGACACCTTTTTGGTTTTTGACTAAAGCTTTATCCTAGAATTCCAAAAGAGAGAGGAACCTTTTAGGTTTGGATCTTAATTTTCTTCCAAAGTCTCATGCATTACAGGCTTTGTCTACATGTGATGGTACTGATGGGAGGTGGTAGGTCTTTTAGGAGATGGAGCCTAGTGAGAAGGAGTTAGGACATTGGGGTGTGTCCTTGAAGAGGATATTGGGATCCTGATTCCTTCCTTGCTCTCTTTGCTTCTCTGATGCTATATGAGGAGCAGCTTTGCTCCACCATACCCTCTCTACCACAATGCTCTGCCTTATGACAGGTCCAATGCAATGGGGCTAAGCGACCATGAACTCACACCATGAACCAAAATAAATCTTCCCTTTTGTTTTTTTTGGGGGAGGGCACTGGGGTTTAAACTCAGTGTCTACACCTTGATCCAGTTCACTAGGCCATAACTTGCCTTTTTGTTTTTGTTTTTTTGTAGGCACTGGCACTTGAACTCAGGGCCTCATGCTTGCTAAGCAGGTACTCTTACTACTTGAGCTACACTTTTAATTTGTTTATCTCAGGTATTTTGTTATAGTAATGAAAAGCTAACTAACATGGTACCTTGTATACCTTTCTCTAACCATTTTCGGGAAAACTAGTGGCTTTAAGAAATTGCCAAAGGTAATATGAGCAGAAAGGGAGGCAGCATTTGGACCTATGACAAGGCAAAGACATAAGCATACTTACTGAACAATCACTGGAAAGTATTTCAGCAACCTAAGAATCTCTTTAATACCTGAATGGGAATTTTTAAGCTGACATATTCTTTTTATAGACTGGACTGTACCCCAACTTCATATGCTGACATGCTAAGTCCTAACCTCTAGTACCTCTGACTGTGACTATATTTGGAGACAGAGTCTTAGAAGAGGTAATTAAAGTAAAACAAGGTTACAGGGTGGGACCTAATACAATGTTACAGGTATCTTTAGAAGAGGAACTAGGAGACAGGCACAGGGGAGACCATGAAGACAGTGAGAGTGGCCCTCAGAAGAAATCTAGCCTGATGACACCTTGATCTTGGACTTCCAGTGCCTAGAACTGAGGAAATAAATTTCTGTGTTTTAAGCCACCTAATCTATGGTATTTTGTTATGGCAGCCAAATCAATATATTTACTCTCATAAAATTTAGGATTTCTTAGTAAGAAGGTATTTACATTTTATTAGATCATCTTCTGGATGACCAAATTCTTCCTTCTGCTGAATACAGAGTTTATTTTCAAAGTCCTAGAATATCCCTGAATACTGAGGTCTGGAAACAGAAAAATAGTTTGAAAAAGTGCTTCTCAGTGAGATAGAGATGCCTATTAAACATCTTTACTGATAAAGGTCCCTAATAACAGTATCACTTTTCTGTTTCCTAACAAGAAGTCAGTAATAAAAGTAGGGAAGAGAGAGGTAGGAAGCAGAAAGCGACCCTCCTATAGTGAAATCTTGGAGAGACGCTGGAGACACACTTTGCAGGCATAATCACCGAGAAAAGGCATAATTTGACCCCTCCACACCTCCAGCCGGCGCAGAGAATCTCCACTTCACGTTAAACGGAGAACCGAGGAGGCCCCCGGGGCCGCCAGTGGCCGGCGCCCATACGGCTTAGGAAGACACGGACCAGGTGAGCTTCGCGGTACCGCGGTTCCCCCACAGACAAGCCTGGGCCAGAGCAGCATAGCCCCCTGGACAGACTGACCTCCACCCGGGTAAAAAAGAGAAACTGAGTACTAAGCAATAAGAACAGTTAAGACACGCTGGAAAGAGGGTGGGGCGCCCTGAGCGCTGAAGATTGGGGGAAGGGAATCCTTCCCGGGACTGTAAATAAACGAGCCGGGCGGGCCGGAGAGGCTCTGGCGGGAGCGGGGCGCGCCAGCAACCAGGAGCGGGGACGCTTGTGAGAGGAGGGAAGACCCACTTCCCACGTGAACTGTAAATAAACACGCAGGCCTGACAACGCGGGGCAGTGTCACCTTTCCCAGTGCTTGGAAAGGGAAAGCCTGTAGCAGAGGCCCCGCACAGGAGAACTCTGAGCAAACAAAGCCTGTGGGACCAGGTGAGTGCTAAGCTCACCCCAGAGATCTGCATAAATAACGCCCAGCTACAGGCTGAGAGCAGCAGGCAGGCAAGCCACAGTTGCAGATACCACTCTCAGAACTGCCTCCAGACGCTTTTTTTTCTTTTTCTCCCTACCTTTGATGAGAGAACAACCGAATTACACCTGCAAGCCGAAAAACTTACTGAAACTGTATTGCATTTGAACTGGGGACACTTGGTGGGGCTTTTTTTTTTTTTTTTCTTCTGTGTGTGTGTGAGTGTAGTTTTGTTCTACTTTATGCATCCCCTTTGATGAGACAACTACAGAACAACATCTGAGGCACCAACTCCAGGACTGGAGATTGAGACGGACATCCAAATTATTAAGACTGAAATTGCATTGCATATAAACTTGGAAT